GTGTTCTAGCGATCGCATCCCTTCTCCCTCTGAACTAATTCCTCACCCGCGCTTATTCGCTTCTACCGCCAGAAGAAAATCTTCCCGGAAATGGACTCACAAGTAGACCTAATATGTCCGGTTGTTTCTTTAAATTAAATCATTCCACTAATTTTTTTGTCCGTCGTGTGCTTTACAGGGTCTTTCGACTAGGAACAATCAATTGTGCACACCAGTGGCGACACAAAAAAGTGATTAATATACCCCGACTCATTCAGAAATAAGTAGAAATAAAACTCGTTAACTGAGAGATAAACGCTTACCGAAAGGGCGTTTTGAGGTAATATTAAGAAGGTTCGGCATTTATGATGTGTTCCAAGAATTCGGCGGCGTAAACCCGAAAGGTGGGGTTAGTACTATCACTGTAATATGATTTTTAAGGCTGCGCTCAAAATATCCGAAATTGTCAGACGTGCACTTGAGGCCTGCGCTTAGTCGTGGTGCCTATTTTAAGCGTATATTAATAAACGGGTGTAGTCGAAATACAAAGTACGGCATATTTCAAACCCTAAATAACAGCACTACACTAGAACAGTGCAAAAATAATAAGGTATTTTCGGATACACACAAAATAAAAATATCCAAGACCAGCGATGCTTGGGTGGAAGTTTTATGTGAATAAAAAGCCAAAGGCAGCGAACTATCATGGCATGTTACGGTAAGGCGTCAGTAGGTGGCCTTTTGCACAAAAACTAAACCAACTCATCATGCTGGGGGAACTCTGCGCCAGCCTAGAACACTGCTTAGTCATCATGAAAGTAGAATTTAGAAATGAGACTTGAATGAGACCTGGGTACCACCCCCACTCCCCCCTCTCCTCTCCGCCTCGAAACTGGAGTAGAAGAATCACACTTTGCGGAGAGCCGAAACAAATTAAGAAGAGAAAGTCCGTGCCTCCTTCGAGTTCCCGCTCTACCAGGGTTGCTTTTTTGCTTTTGAAATTGTCAAAAAGTAAAGTACGCAAGTTCGTCTCTCACTAACCTGGAGCAACCGCATTTGGAGCCCCATCGGCACCAACGCCCACTTCGCGTGTCTGGCCGCTTTGAACGATCATTGACTCACTGTCGTTCTCGTAGATGCCAACGTGAGTCGAGCCTTCAGCTGCCTGCGACTGGGGCTGAGGGTCTCGAGGGGAGTCGTCGAGCTTCACCACTGAAGGTGTCGATGAG